TCCATTTAGGCCTTCCTCAGAAAGATCAAAAGCTTTAGCAGAACTGTGTTCTTCAGGCACTCTGTGTAGCTTGTTTGTAGTTTCTCTATACATTTCTTACTGCTTTTTGAAAAAATTCAATTGGTAACTGACGAAGCAACCAGTGCCAGCAGATGTAGAACTCAGTGCATTGGGAATGCCACATTTTAAATCCTGTAGAAGACATATGCAGAAGACTCATATTTAGAGACAGGTAATACTTTTTTCTAAGCATATACCTACACTGACACTTGCTGTGGAAAATCTCCAGAAAAGTAGGAATTATCCCATTTCCAAGTGGAGTAAAGAGTTCTTAATGAAGGACTGAAGGTTATTCATTTTAAGCCCCTGGGGATGCCAAGAGGGGAGAGAAAAGAAAATCTTCCTGTTTTCTAATCTCAGGAATTGTCCTTATGGGGAAGTTCTTGCAAAGTAAATAAAGATTATGTTAGCACACTTGTACAAATTTATAGCATGGTATGTAGACACTAGAGTGCACTTCAAAATGAAATAAGCTTGGACTCATAAAATAATAAGGAAATAAGGCAGTGTGTTGGTGTGAGTACTGCACATGTAGATTTACTTCATGATAGTTCAGTAATAGCCTCATTCAATGGTTTGGGGTGCAATGGAATTATCCTATGGTGAAATCAGGGCCCACACACCGACAGCTGAATTATTCAGGTTTATAGGATCTGCAGTTTTATTCTGCTTGAAGGGAAGTTCTTTAGAGTTTCCTGATCCCACTCTTCTAGTTAGTGGAACATCTGCATGGCAACAGTGTCTCCATCAGCCTGCAAAATGGATGCTTCATGGTAGAACATAGGTAGCATGGAAGATAAAACAAAAATAAGGAAAACAAAAAAAAAAAAAAGACAAAAAAGGGATTTTAAAATAAAATAATGCCTCTTCAAATACTTAGCAGCTACTAAAGGAGTTTTATTTATAGCTTACTTTTGTCTTCTGAAAGATGGAAAAGAGTTCATGGAATAAGTATTCATTATTGTTTATTCTTTCTGTCATAATTATAAAATGAACTAGAGGATAGTAAAATTTTACTTTCATGAATTGCATTGCTTTGTTTCTCAGAGTTGTTTGTATCTTTACCCTTACTAAAAAACTCTTTATCAGACAAAAGATCAAGGCCATCAATTTTCAGTGCTGAAACTGAAAAGCATCCCACAACAATGTCTTTCAGGTTATAATGTTCACAGGAAAAGGTTCTGAATCGGAGAGGGTTGAGTGGGTGGAAGGAACAGCATGTTCCCAAAGAAGCACACTTTGCACAGCTGAAGCATTGTGAACCTTACCATAACATAACGATTGAATCGGGTTTCATTATTCCTTCAAACTTCTTAATTCTTGCTGCATAATATGTAAGATTGCACTTGAGAAAATGTTGAAGGGTGCTAAGGCCTGTTTTTTATTATCAAGCTTACCTTGGTATAAAGTGAACTAACACCATTTGTGTCAAAAGAATTGCATTTGACTTGGTTAAATGAGATTCTAGTCTTGTATCTACTTTCCCTTTTTCTCCTTTTTCTCAATGGCAGGAACAATTAAATGAATGTGCTACAATAGAGAGAGCAAAAGATAGCTAATATTACATAGACTAGAAAGGACCATGCTGTTGCTTTAATACTAAGTAAGCTGAGTGCTGCATTAAGAAACAGATTTTGCTATGTTGAATAAAAAATAATTTTAGATTTAATGTAAGAAAGAAGAAAGAGCAGTGAAGAATACAGAGATACGATATGCAAGCATAACTGTTTTGTGCATGAAATGCATTCTCTACTTAATCATAGAGTTTTTATACATGGAATAAAATTATAATCCATTCAGGATCTTTAGGCTCATGTATTTCAAGATGTCTTTTCAGAGCAGAAGCTTAAATTAGGTATGATTATTAAAGAAAATGTGTCCTTTTTAAAAAAAAACTCTGCTCAGAAGAGAGTTGAACCATCTGGGTAACACATTGTGCAAAGCTAAAGAGAATAATTGTAGCCAGTCCTTTCCCTGTCAAGGAATATTACCTGTTACAAGAAGAAATACAGCATTTTGTCACGCTACCATTCAAATACCCAGCATCCACAATGAGGAAGATTATCCCTATGGCAAATCCAAGCTTTTCTTATGCTTTTCCTGAGAGAGGCTGAGTGTCCACATCTTGTGCCAGCTCTCCTTGAGACTGGATTTGCTGCTGAGAGCCTTAGTGAAGATGAGGCACAAAAATGTGCTTCTTATGATTGATTTAAGCATTAAATCTTGGTAAAGTGCAGAAGACCTTGCTGGTGTGTCATCTTGAGCAATGTTTTTTCAACCTGGCGTTTGTAGCATGTAACTGAAGAAGGTTTTTAAGGCAGAGCTTGCACTGTCAGGCTGGGCACTGCCCTCCACAGACCTCATCCCAGGATGTGCACTCCATCATACCTCCCCAGATGTGTCTCCATTGTACCTCCCCAGTGCAGAGAAGGACAGAAGTCCTTCAGTGTGCCATTCCATTCTGGTACTTGAGGCATCCCCTTAAAATGACACACTATGATTTCCACATGGTTCCTTCCTCACATGCCTGGGTTTCCTTTAGAAGGAAACTGGGATGCTGGGGTGAACAGTGAGCAGCCTGGCTCACATCTTCATTGAGAGCCTGGATCAGTGTTTATGACAAGCTACCAGATGACTTTGGGTCGTCAGTGTAGACTCCTGATAGAACCAACCTATGATCAGTTGAATTGAATTTAGTATATAGAGATCTGCACTTCTACTGGGAAAATGCAGAGGCTTATAGAGCAGAAGAAAGCAGGAATTAGTGAACAAGAGTGATGGGACAGGTTAGAACTGCGCTGCCCCAAGGCACGTGCAACAAGTTGCAGGAAGCAGCCTGTGCAGGTGAAGTGAGCTTTATTTCCTTGCAACTCATTACCATGCAACAGAAGGGCCAAAGAGACCAGTGACCTCCCTAATTTTTTGAGCTGTCTTGTAGGTCCTGTCATATGAATCAAAGGACAAGGTAGGCACTAAAAGGAGGAGGCAACTATGCTGTGCTCTTCTGTTTGCAGTTGTGTGGATCAGTGAGCAGCTGTCCTCACAGTGCTGAACATGCCATTGCTCAACCTCTTTCCCAGCACATAACACAGAGAAGCATGAATCACACCAATAATGCTAATGAAGGAAACTCCTCAGTCATCCACAGATAGTCTACATCAGCCTCAGGGCCTGGGCTGTAGGGCTGTATTCGAGCTATGGGGCAGAAGTGATCTGCAGTGTTCCCTGCAGTCTCTTCTCTGTGTCTCCAAATGCACTATGGCCCTTTCTACATCCACAGCCCGAATTTTCTTCCAGCAGGAGCCAGAGTGCAGCACGGGATGTTACATGCCTTTGTCATGCAGTTAGAGCAACCATGGGCTGTACATTCACAGCCAGGACTAGGAAGCTCTCCCTGCTCCCGCATTTCAGACAGAACCTATACGTGTTCCAGATGGAGCTGGAAAAAACTCTGATGTATGATACTGGACTGATAGAGCTATCACCATATACTGTGTGTGGTCTGATTTCAATTCCTCCAGCTGCTTTCTGACAGCTAAAACATCTCTGAAAATTGCAGCGGATGGCAAAGACGGGTTTTTCTTTCATCATAAAGCTAGCAACATTAAAAGTGATCTCATGCCAAACTCGCTATATGTAATGCAAGATTTTTCTCAGGAAATATTTTGGAAGAAAAATCTTTATGCACTATTTTTTTTGTTAAATGCCTGAATAATTAACTTGCATGCTGATGATTTATCATTTGATATTAGGAAAATCTAATTTGTTACACCAGAGGACCAAAACAAAGCTGACCCGCAAGTATATAACTTGTACTGTATATCTGGATAGTGTGGATTATTTTGAGAGTATAATGAAAAGCCTTTCAATGAATACCTAATGAAGGAATAAATAGATACTGGTTAGAGTGGCATGTGCCTGCCTAATGAATAACCTAGATTATTAAATTGCCATGATCTTTAGGAATGGAAAAATATGTTTTACATCAGTTAGAGCTAAACGGCGCCTGTCATTAGAGGGACTGGATTCCACGGCTGTTTCACACTTCTTTCTGTTTCTTTTTTAACTTCTGTATATCAAACTGGCAGGATTGGTTTCTAACATTAATTGTTGTAGTTGGATTCTTGACTGGGGAAACGTTCGTCTAAAATGTATAATTGGAAAAACTCTCTTGTTCTGGGTACACTAGGTATTGCTCACTGCAGCAAATTATGATAGAAGCAAGTGTTGCAGCAGGTGAGGGTACCCTGATTTAAAAAATGCATACTGCATTGTCCTGCCTATCATGCTGCTCAGAGAGGAAAGAACGGACTCCAGGGTGTTTTTAGACTAGGCTAGAAGTCAGGAATCTGGGTTCGTGTCTCCACTCTGCAGCAGATGGCCCTGACCTCAAGTGAGGCTTTTACGCTGTCTGTACCTCATGTCTCTATATAAAATATGGGCAGTAGTGCTCTATAGGTACGTTGGTCTGAGGACAATTCAGATGTCAGTTAACTGGGTAGATGTGACATTTTTGCTGGAAAATACTTTCTATGAAATTTCTGTATTCTGTTGGAAAGGACAAGAAAACTGTCTGGATTATTTATTTCCTTCTCAGATTGCAAGTGAAGACCAAATTATTTGGTTGATTTCATCAGGCTGAGCTGTGGAATGCAGTGAGTTACCACAGAGTCTAACTGCCTTTCAGATCAAGTGGTGATGAGGGAGACAGTGTATTGCATTACATTTCTAATTATGTTATCTGCATCTTCTGTTTGATACTACCATTTAATTAAGACTAGACTTTGTTATCCTCTGATAATGGGATCATTCATTCTTACCATGAAAGCACAGTATAATATTAAAACCAAATCTTTGAACAAAGTTGCTGTGTCGCACTCCCTCTTTCTCAGCCACGTTTAACGTACGTAATATTTCTCCCTCTGTATTTTTACTTATAGCCAAACGCTTAGCCATGTACCAAGAACCTGATTCAGAGGAAGACGAGGCAGCCCCAAAAGGAGGAACTCTGTCACAGCGTGATAGTATCTGCAGCCATCAGAGCATCAAAGTAATCCACAGAAGCCAGAGCACCAAAACCCACCGGCGCACAGGTAGCAGAGCTGAAGCAAAAAGAGCAAGCATACTCTCGAAGCACACTGCATTCAGCAGCCCAATGGTAAGTCATGAGAACTAAATGCACAGTGTCCCGTATCTTTTAACAGAACAATGTCTTGAAAAGGGAAAGGTAAAGATATCTGTAGCACAGTGCGTACCTCTTACAGACTTCATCTTGGCATTTTTTCTTCTGTAGTCACAGCTGTTTGTACAAAAACAATCAAGTGTTGGCATAGATCGTATCTAAATACCTTCTCTGTGGGAACAAACTAAAGGTAAAGACAATCTGAAACCTTGTTTTAATTATACCTTGATTTCGAAAAGAAAATATATGCCTTCCCTTTATCTGCAGAAGCTGAGAGTAGCATAAGGTTTGAGGTCAGAGATTCTAATTGCTGCGTGTAAGCCTCTTATTCTTTTCTCTTTTGTCAGAGGATTTTAAAACTAATCATTGCTGGGCTGGACACCATGTATTCCAATTTTTAGGCACTGTTGACATACACCAGAGCATAATTTTTAGTGTGATTCAAGATTATTAGTGGATTGCATGTGTTGCGTTTTAAAAGAATAAAAACCTTTACTTTTCAAGATGTTGATGAATTTATGTCCTTACAACTTTGCTTTGGTTAATTTATTTTATGCTATTTTAATTCCCTGGAAGTTTTAAATAGGCTGAATTGTAATAAGGCAGCAGAGAAGTGAAGTCTTGTCTATCTAAGTATTTTGCATTGTTGTACTGTTGACACAAATTCACCCTCAAAACAAATTACAAATACAGACACAGAAAGATGCTGTTTGCACTGGTGGAACTTCTTTATTTCTGTCAAGAGTAAACTCTTTTGGTACAATTAGAAATTGCACTTTTTATACACAGAGTTCTGTGGTTGTTCAGATTCGTCAGCTGCTGTGCATCAGCAGATAAAGTTATACTGGAGAAAGAGCCTTAGGTCAGTTTATCTTTTAATCTTTTGTATCCCTGCATCCTGCTATCTTAAGAAATACCAGGGTTTGCTCTGACATGAGATAGATTAAATAAGTGGAAGGTGCTGATAAAGTAGAGTGGAAAATGCTCTGTTTCCTTGTAAAAAAAACAGATTAATTACTTTCAAATGTGTAGATGGTAGTTGTTCTCTAACAAACAATCCAAGAAGGTTTAATGTTATTGTGTTGATGTGAGACAGAGCTTTGAATACCATCACTGTCTAATTTTTCCACTCTTTTTGGTCTCTGTAGTGTACCACCCTTTAGTAATATTTAATAAATCTCTGGAATTAGGCAGGAGAGAGGGAGGAATATTAGTATGTAACTCTTCTCCTATGCATTACCCCCAAAGTAGATGAATATTGCTGCTATAATTATCTGTAGTGAAAAAGTTGTTACTCAATTTCCATTTCTATCAGAACGCTCATTGTTAACTGTTTATTTTCTAGAATGGGTATCTTACAGCCCTCTCCACCTCCTGTGATGTAAGGCCACCATAAAACTCTTGACATTGACATGGCTTTGAATGCTTTAATTGTTTGTTGCTGATTTGTAATTTTTCAGAATCACAGATATTAATCACTGCTGTTTATTACTAGGAAAAGGACATCACACCTGACCCGAGCTTGTTAGAAAAGGTGAATGAATGTGCAAAGCATCTGGAGGTCATGAGGAGCCACGAACAGCCATTATCCCATCTGAGTCCAGAACTATGTGACATTTTTGACTTCTTTGTCGCTTTGACTATATGTAATACAGTTGTGGTTACTGCACCAAATCAGCCTCGACAGAAGGTGGGTTAAAGAAGCAACAAAAGCCTCTTTTGCATGAATGAGAATTTCAAAACTCAATCCCAAGATGATCTGTAAGACAAAAATATAATGGAATGTAGTATTAAAGCTAGCCAGCAGCTGGAATTTCCATTCTGGAGAAAATTCTGAGAGTTGTTTCTGTTCCAGACTGCAATAAAAAGTGAACTAGTCTACAAAATTACATGTTTTTGTGCTAGGGAAACATTTGGAGAATGCTCAGTTCTGCTGTTTCAGGAATGCTGCAGTGTTATACAATAATTTAATATATATTACTATTAATGTACTATTACTATTAATAACATTGTATCTGTAAAAAAGATTTAAGTAAATGGAGATGAGTGATAAAACTGAAGCAAAATGCTTTGAAGCTGAAACAGAATACAGCAAAAATTATTTATTTCAGCATGTTCCTATTGAGGATGTTGTCAACATTGGCATATTCTTATAAAGTTTTTCTGATACCACACTTCTCAGTGGAAAACTCATTAGCTTTTTTTTTACTTCCTTCACTGCATATGCACAAAGAATGCCAATGTTTCCTACTAACAATAGGTTTTAGTATGCACTACTGGTGGTAGTGCAACATTGATACTCTAGCCATTAGTCATATCTGAGGAGGTGAATGAAGAATAAATGTTTTTTAATATAAATGTACCTGCCTTCACACAAAGGCACAATTCTGACGTTCTAAGTTCTTTGCTGTTGAAATCAGTTTTGTCCGTTTACTTTCCTTTCTCAAAATACAAATGCCACTACTTCTGGTTCTCAAAGAAATTCTCCTCTTTAGTCAGAGCTGCTTATACTGAATATATGTGTCGGAATTCTTGTACAGCTTTTCTTCATTTTTTGTTCATTGGTTTGTTTTTTACTTCTCAAGGTTAGAGATCGATTTGAACTAAAATCTCCAGTAAAAACCATAGAAGACTTCATACGAAGATTCACTCCAAGCCGCTTGACCTCTGGATCTAACAGCAGCAGTTCATCTAGTCTCGCTACAAGTAAATCAATGCACAGATTTGGTTTAAGTGTGCTTTCATCTACATCTACGGATAGCACTTTATTAAAACTGGAAGAGAAGCTGGCGTACTCTGCACAGATAAATAACAATGGCTACAGCTCCCAGCAAGGCCGGACAGCTGTGGGGAGAGGACCTGAGGAAGGAGAACTGCGTTATGAAGCAGAGAGTCCAGATGAAGCTGCTCTTGTCTATGCAGCAAGGGCGTATAACTGTTCTCTGGTTGGAAGGCTGTCTGACCAGGTATCAGTGGAGCTACCTCACCTGGGAACTTTAAGCTTTGAAGTATTACATACGTTGGGCTTTGATTCCGTCAGGAAGAGGATGTCAGTAGTCGTCAGACATCCTCTCACAGATGAAATAAATGTTTACACTAAAGGAGCAGATTCAGTTATTATGGATCTTCTTCTACCCTGCTCTTCAGGTACACTCTTACTTACCTTTGTGGGAGTAGGGGTGGGAAGGAGGTGGTTCTGGTTAACTGCTGAAAAACTCATCGTATCTTATTGCCCCCTCTAGCAAATAGACCTGCTTGCTTTTGTTGTCAATATAGGGAATGGTAGAATGGCGGACATCTCTCTTCTTTTATAATACTTTGTTATTGTAGCAAATTTTCTGTAACAAATTACTGGTGCCTCAACTTACAAAAATGATTTAAATTAATTTCTGTACAAGATCTTCTACTAGCAAGCTTCATTTTGAAGGAATTTGTGAAACTTTGCCAAAGCAATTTAGGTTTCTTCAGGAAAACCTGCCTGGCAGTGCTTGGCTATTTGAGTATTTTATATGAAACCCAAGCACTTCGTATTGCAGCTCCCCTGTCTGTTTCATTTGTGAATCTTTGCGTCCTTTTGCTGCAATATGTTTGCGTAAATCAACGCAACTATATTGCTTTGACTGCAATGCTAAAGGGCACTGTGAATCAATCAGGCATCAAAACAAAAAGGTTGTGGCAAAAGAAGGAGAGATGCTGTTCAGACAAGAAATCTTGGCTTCAAATATGTAGTTGACCAGCAGGGAATAGACACGTAGCTGTGAACATGGAGTACTTCCCTAAAGCATGGAGAGCTTCTCCAGCACCCAGATGTCGCATGAAACAGGGACAACTTTAAATAGCTGCTAATTGTAATCAGTTGGATTCAAAAAGAACCCTGTAAGCTTTCAGAAATTTGAGGAGACACACAGGTTTCAATTTGCACGAATCTGTTTGCATCTGATTTACTGTATTTTCAACACTGAATTTAATCCAATGTTTAAAGGTTACCCCAGTATGAATGGACAGAGCCCGAAACTGCTAGAGCTCCTTCCCATGTTTCACTAATGCATTGACTTCGTGGTTACTTTGCCATTAGTTGCAGTAAACAATTGTGAAAGGCTTATACTGTGTCATTTTAGTTTAATGAAATACTGAAAAAATTTGGCATTATTTTTCTGTTTACAGACATATTAATCAAAGCTGAGCCAAAAAAATTAAGAACAACTTGTCCTTAACTAACAACAAAGTATTCATGAATAATTTTCTACTAAAGATCTGATGTCACAGAGGGAACATAGAGCATCTGTGGAAACTTGTTTCCCTCCGAAGTACTAACAGAGAATTAGTAGTACTGAGAATTTCTAATAACATATCTAGAAAATAATGTTTGGAAATTAGTTCTCAGAATGAGAACTGAGCATTAAAAAGAAAAGAAACTATTATTTTATGCCAAGTCTCAAATATTTTGTCACTATATAACAAGCTATGTTTGCAGCTGCTGTGTTCATTCACAGTAGACTCAATGGATCAAGGCATTTTTGGGCACATTTCAGGCAGATTTACAGAATCACAGAATGGTTGAGGTTGG